GCGGCAACGATTCAAGAATCGTTGAACCGTGCACCTTCAAAGTGCAAAGTGTTGTTACAAGATTGGCAGAAACCATTCCTGCACTTTCGTTGTGTAATGACACTCTGGAAGTAGTCGAAAGCTTTGTTTACCTTGGGAGTTGCGTGATAGCTGGCGGAGGTGTGGGTGAGGAGATCTCTCAACGCGTGATCAAAGCTAGATTAGCGTTTGCTAATCTGCGGCATCTCTGGCGCCGGCGCGATATATCCCTTTCACTGAAAGGGCTTGTGTATTGCGCAACGGTACGCACCGTGTTGCTCTATGGCTGCGAGACCTGACCTCTCCGAGCAGATCACGTCCAGCGACTGTCAGTCTTCGCCATCCGTTGTCTGCGCAACATCGCCCGCGTATGGTGGGAGCATCGCGTGAATAACGATGAAGTCAGACGGCAGGTGCTAGGACCAGATAACCTTCCTTTTAGCAAAGTAATTTCACAGCGTCAAAGTTTTCTAGGGCACATCCTACGAATGCCTGAGCGCCGTCTGCCACACCGTGCACTATTCGCAGACATCGGTCCAGGCTGGAAGAAACAACGAGGTGGACAGGCTATTACTTGGCGCAGAGGGTAAAGAGATTGTGCTCGGATCTGGCTTCCGTTAGGGTTTCTCGGCTCCCCGGCTGGGGCCTCAGAGATTCAGGTTATCTTTAACTGGAGACACTGCGGGATATGTCATCGAACCGAAGTCAGTGGCACGAATGCATCCTCTTTTGTGTGCATTCCCAAAAATAAAACAAAACCGAAAAAAGCCTCAAACTGGCGTGCAGTAAACAAACAAAAATAATGTTACTCCTCGAAGTTGACTGTTTTATTTTCCCCGTTTTTATACCTAAATTTTTATATATATATATATATATATATATACAGAGAGAGAGTCTCACAAGGCCAGATGGTTGGGCCCCTCTTGGCCTCTTTTGACTATCCACACTTGCTCTTGTAGAGTTCACTCCAGCGAATAAATACCGGAAGTGGCAGTTTACTGCTAGAAGAAACCGGTAGATGGACACAGAAGTGAGGTACCTGGGGTTTCCTCCGGACGGTCGGAGAAGTCTATACACCTGATGGGACAGTTACCTCCCACCAACCTGGGCAGCCTCCAGCCAATAAGGTGCTGTCCCGTCCACGTTTCGATGCCCCATTGGGCGCATAAAACTAAGGGTCAATCTCGAACAGCGGAACAACAATCAATGTACCAGCGAACAACACACTGAATCAAAATCCCAAGGCCTTGCGTCACCGGTCTTTAGAAGTGCCTGTGTTTGATCTGTCCCTCACTGCCTTGTGGTTTAGACTTTCGAGTCAAGACTCTGGTTAGAGTTCTAAAATTAAAACCTACACACTCCCGTTCCGTTGCGGGTCAGACTTTTGAGTTAAAGACTCCGCTTAGGGTTCGCTAAGAAAATCTCTTTGTCGGTTTGGGCTACCGCGAATTGTCGTGCCCCAAAGTCTCAGACACACATTTGCAAAATTCCCCTGCTCGTCTGTGTAACTCTTCCTCTCAATCCCAAATCGTACGAGACGCCTCCCGTTTACGCCACCCAGGGGATATCGCTCTGCATTTAACCAATTAGGTCAAGCAGCCACAAGCCATTCAACTCCAGGTTATACAGCCATTAACCATGCGCTTTCGTGCGCCGGTTTCGGTTGCTGCCTCGTGGCTCGCATTGGGATGAAGGAGGAAAGATTGGAATTTGCAAGCTAATATCATTGTTGAAAAAAGTCTTGAAGGCTGTGTGCAAAAGATGAGTAGATGCAAAAGCTCCAGTGTTTGCGACATTCATCTCCATCCAGGAAGCTTAATGCGGCCTGACAGAAAATCTCCTGGTCGGAGTTGTCCTACTCTCATGCCAGGTCTTATTTTGGACACTTGTTTTTTTTCCTCCACTAGTTGCTTCGGCAAACAGCACGCGACATGCCAATCTTTTTGGTGATGTGAATAACACATGTCCCAACCAACGCAGTCTTTGGAGGTCGATCACTTCCTCCGATGGACGACTGCGAATACCTAAAGCTGCGCCAAACCTCAGCATTGTTTGTTCTGTTTCCCCACCAGGTTCGTGCAATGCAGCGTAGACAGCAGTGTTTGAACACTGACAGTCTATCTTTTTCTGTTTTCGTAATAACCAAGTCTCTGCGGAACTGATGCAGCATAAACTGGAGCCTTCACAGACAGCTGGGTGTCGCGGCGGCCCTTCGATTGGCCGCTTCCCCCTTCCTGAAAATTGTATCATTGTGTATTCAATAAAAGGAAGTAAAAAAAACTACCACTCAAACTACCCAGAAAAGCTTGCAACTTATAGGGGGATAGGGTCGTTTCCATACTCATATTTGTAGTGAAGTTAAAAATAAAAGGAGAGAGAGAGGAACCCTGACGAACCTCACTTTCTGCGTTGAACTCGGTCGACTGAGTAGAAAGCCACTTTCGGGTCGAGGAAAGGCAATCTCAAACCCCTCCCAAGATTTTCATGATCCACTTTCCTTCTAAAGTGATCCTACTAAATTTCTGTCATCGAGAGGGCCACGAGAGTCTCTTTGTACAGCGATGAGCGCGAAACTTGCATTATTCAAGAGGACAATGTGTACAAGTGTTTGTGCCCTGGGAACTAGCTTTAGTAGTAGATGACAGGATGTCACGGATCAGGACTCCTTGGTGAAAGTGACCATAGATGGTGCATTCCAGGAGTGTCAGTTCACTTCTACTCTCTCCAGGGCGGTCCCCAGGGGTGTAATAAAGTTCTATTGTGCATCACTGTTGCTGTCATTATACTTCTCTTATTAGTTTAGGGAATATGTATTCAAAGATGTTTTTCGCGATTATGCTTGATTATATGAAATACTGGTTCACTGCTCTAAAAAATCGATTTCCATTGTTACCTCCTTACGCGGACACCTTTTCCCACTCCAAACGTGTCCTTCTATAACGGCCTTTCATTAGAGGAGCAGGAATGCGGCTGCTTGATCGAAATCCATGTTCGTTGAATCGATGAAGCACAGTGCGGGTGCAAGTTGGATAGCGTGATAAGTTATAAATCATTTCCGCTGATTAGGAGACCATAGTCGAAAGATCTGACTGTGCTCCAGGCTGCGGTCTCCCGCCCATTTGACCTCGTGGTTCTATTCTTTTAAATGGATCTATCCCTGTACTCACTGTTCTTCTTGAAGAGTTAAAAGATTTGATGGTCTCGTGATGTGTTTTCACCAAACCCCACATTTCGGTTGCACTCCAGATATCTTTCACTTCTGCAACTTGACGTGAATGTGGGCTGTCAAACCACAAACTACACTTCTGTCAAGCCTCCGTAACACATCTCAAGATGACTGTTTATACATCACATAAGACTACAGCCGTGTTTGGCTAGATCCTACTGTTCCGAACCGGGGCTTTGAAGAATAAACGATTGATTGTTTGGGGGTGAGCCTTAACGAGCTATGCATACAGGAAATTCTTTTTTACCAGTTTTTTTCGTTTTGTACCATGGTCCGGATATATGTTGAGTGCCACCATAATCATACGGGGCGAATTGTGCAATGACGTTAGCATCAACGTTACCCCGCAGTTCGAACATGCGGTTATCACTTACGCCTAACGTGAGCGCTCGTTAGATTATATGCTGATCATTGCTCTAGTATAAACTTCCTCGATTCACACAGCATTGACCAAAGATAGACCAACGTGATCAGTCTAAAATCAAGAATAGTTCTATAGACGTAAAACTCTGCACTTAACTTCATCTTAAAATTTGTCTGTAGGCTGGCAGTGACTGTCTCTTTCATTCAGTACATGATCTCATTCAGGATTTGTTTTACGTCTTGTCCAATTGTTCCTTGTTTAGGAGGTTTTGGATGTCACTTCTCACTTTTGAGATATTGTCCTTAGTTGTATACTATTTCTGAACGGTTTTTAAGCTATTTAAAATATTCCCCTGTTTCATTCCTATTCTGATTATAGCATATCCTTTCGCCAATCCGGACCAATTCGTTGAACAGATTCAACAACAATTGACGAAACTTTCTTCACAACGCTCAAACAAACGGTTAGTTTGTGATTGCGTTTTTTCTCCCTTTTGATTCCTTGCAGTTTGTTACCAATTTTCCACCTCCTTTTCCGTCCACCCGCACATCGAATGAAAACTGTGATGCCTTTAATTTTTCCTTGTTGTCTGCGACCTCTGTTACTTTTTTTTTTCTGGTTTAGCATTTCCTCTAGTAAGGCGAGTAGCAACAATTTTTTGGAACCTTTCCTGAATGCAGTGTTTCTCTGCGATAGGTCCTCATTGGCACTGAGGTTGAAAGCGTCTAGTCCACTAAATATTACCAGAGAATCATCGTAGAATTTCGATGAGATCAACTTCGCTCGAACTTATTTCTTCATCTGCAAAAGGAGAAATAACACAAGGGTTTCGTTTAATTTCTTCAAATCAAATCACATTCTACCGTTATCGTTCTTTCTCATTAATTTTACTTATTCCACGTAGATTAACACAAAAAGGCTCAGAAAAACAGAAAACAAAACGCCCGGGTAAATCGAGGCCGACCAAACCTGCGGAAACAACCGATTCCGACCCACTCGCTGCGGACCCGGACGATGTCGGCGATGTGCGGGCCACACCACTTGTTCGATTGGATTTCGATATGCCTGAAGTGAGCTAGCGTTTAATTGCGTATGTCTTACTATTCAACACAGTTATTCGTGTTCTACTTCGACATTTCACTCTCATGCCCATCAGGATTGCTGACGCTAAAGCCGAGTTTTGTGACTGGTGATTAGCCTTCTCGTACTGTTCAAAGTTAGTTTCAATACAAACTCCATCTCCGGTAGGGGAAGACAGGAAAATGTGTGAAAATACAAATAACGGTAGAAAAAGCTTTTCTTAGATAATTCTTAACCGATTTGAATTATGAATAATTTGACCTCATTTACTTCCAACGGAAATCCCTGTTAGGACCGGAAAAGAACTGGAATCACGAGTCCCGGCAAGGATACACAAATTACGCATTGCTGATGAGTTCTCAAAAGGACGAAACAGCTCTTGGTTGGCCATCGCAGTGATTTCCGTTGCAAAGAAATGCACTTAACCGATAAACAGATGGCGACCTCTCAAGGGTCAACCTTACACCCAAGACAGTCAACGGTCGGCATTGTTTTAAAATGTGATGTATACAGGCTTTTCCCCTGATTCTCATAAACTTGATAAGAGCAGTTTCAAATCTTTGTGATGGACTTATGATACACAATAACTGAGCATTAGTTGTAATCCCTTTTTCTTTACTCCTTTTCATTTCACTTTCTCCACCCAGGGTACACAGGATGCCGGCGACTCGCTTACCGAGACCGAGGATCTGAATGATCCACACCGGCGTCTGGACATCGCTTTGGACGGTCTCATAGATCCTATACCACCTCGGCCATCCTCATCAGCTATCGGCTCCAGACGTTCGGATCGAGGATCAAAGAAATCCACTCCATCGAAACGAGTTGAGAGTGCTCGCACAAACCGGGTATGCGGTCGAGGTTGTTAATTCGGATGGACTGCTCAACCTTTTTCTCTGGCTCTCACATATGTTCCGATAGGATTTCCCCTACCGTGGCTACTGACGACTCACCTGAATAGCATAAACATCCAGTTGAGGTTATGCTTCTCTTTTACCTGCAGTTTTCAGAGGGAATCCATTTGGTTTAATACTCTCTCCCTCATGTAATAACTGATGCTCCTAGTCGTTGCTATCTACAAAAGATCTCGAAGCTGACGATAATGCAGTTCATATAATCTTGCGCAACGCTTGAAATCTGTCTTTTATTCCATTGATTGTATGATTCTTTCATAGGCATTGATTCATCTTGGGTACGTGACTGGATTCAAAGTGTTATCATGTAGTACATCGGTTAATTTCAATACGATGCACCCTCACTCCAGGCTGAAGACCAACAAAAAATGTCCCCATTTTCTTCAACGAGTATACGCCTTGCAGTTGTGCCGGTTCCATCACGACGAGACTGCACCTTGATGTGGTGTGATGGCTTGCGCACCTCAGTGACCCTGCGAGCTACACAGGGTGGCTTTTCACAGAAGGAGATCCAATCATGCCTGAAAGGTCAACGGGTAGAGGCCAGACGAAGACCAGTCTCACAAGCCAGCTACTTGGGCACCCTATGGCTTCTTTCTTTTATTCACACCAGCCCCTAGAGAGGCCACTCCAGCAACTAAACACGGTGAGGGGCAGTTTACTCATCATAAAACCCGTTAGATGGACGTAAGAGCGGGGTACCTGGGGCTTCCTCTCGACGGTGGGA